AATAATAATAATAATAATAATAATAATAATAATAATAATAATAATAATAATAATAATAATAATAATAATAATAAAATAATAATAATAATAATAATAAAATAATAATGAAATAAAAAAATAAAAAAAAAATCGGAAACATACCTTGTGAAAGTATTAAACAAGATATTTCCACTATGAAAATCTTTATGAACCAAATCAGCATCATGAATTGCTTTCAAACCTCTAGCGATGTACCATAATTCACGAGCTTTTCTATACCAATCCGAATTTATCATATTCTTTCGTATGAAATCTGTAAGATCACCTTGTTTAGCATAATCAATGACCATCATATAATTCTTGGTTTCGGGATCTTGAGTGATTCCATAACATGTAAGTACTGATCCGGATGAAATACATTTATAATGTGCTCTTAACTAATAATTTAATAATAATAATTAGAATAAATAAAAATAAAATAATAATAATAATAATAAGAAAATAAATAAATAATAATAATAGAATAATATTTTAAAATATTTATTAAATTTTTTAATACCTCATTTAAAAATTTATTATTTAATTCTTTAGAATTATCCAACATCTTTAAAGCCACTTTACATGAACCTTTTCTTTTCCACATACTTCCTAATAACCCTTCAGCATTAGGAATATATTCCCATCTTGGACCATCTACCCAAATAGCATAAAAAATACTTCCAAATCCTCCTCTAGCAATAAATTTGATATTTTGAAATCTATTAAAAGGTATCCATTCCAAATATCCAGCCCACCAAGTACTATTTAATTGAGTTTCCTGAATAAATTCATCGATTTCACGATTTCCACTTGTCCAAGTAGAAAAGGTTTCTTTGAACCTACGCGATTCACAGTTTTGACACCAATACCCTTTACAAGTACGTTGACGAAAACATACAGGACAAAAGGTGATACGTTTCGTAGGTAATTGAAAATTCGCAGTCCAATCTTCTGCCAATAAAGATAATGAACTAGAACTGAATTTGTTGAATTCTTGTTTTTTTGAATAATTTGCACCCATTTTTTATTTTTCAAAAAAAATAAATAAATAAATTATTTATCACTATTAAATTATTATTAAGTTATTAATAAGTTTTTATTATTATTATTAAATTAAGTTTTAATTTAAAAAAAAAAAATGGTAACCGAAAAATTTTAATTAAAAAAAAAAAAAAAAATTTAAAAATTAAATTAAAAATTTAATTGTTCGCTTGATGTCAAAATTAAAAATTTAAAAACTAATTTTGTATTACAATCTTATAAAATAATTTTTCCATTGTAACAAACAAACCGAACATGAGTGTCGTACGGCATCAATTGGAGCGAGTTATTGAAAATAAATAATAAACAAACAATTTAAACATTGTCACGCGATCGAAAAAAAAACCAAATGTTCGTGATTTTTAAAACTTGCTTCAAGCTAAAGGTAAAAAAAAAAATTAAACTTGGCTGCTGTATATAAAAAATGATAAATAAAAACAAAAAACTTGATTAAAAATGATTTCAAACCAAATTTGCACTCAACTAATTTGGAACTCTCGGAAAAGTTACTTTTTTTGGCCGTTATTATATTTATAATATGTATATAATTTACCTTTTTTATGTAGACAAAACTTTAAAAAAAATTTCTTGATAGAATTGATGGATCAACATCCCATTGACATTTGACAAACATACTATGATATACTAAATAGAATTTTTGTTTTTTTAGTGAGATGTATGTACTGCATATCGAATTTAATAGAATTTTTTAGTATTAGTGTTTTTGGTTCGAACATAAAATTTTATTAATTATATATAATTATATATTTCTATTTCTGAGTGTTTTGTTGATAACGTGGTAAATGTGGTAAATGTTTAAAATAATAAAATGATTAAAATTTCACATCAACAAACATAATTGTTAATGATATTAATAAATGTTATTGATATTAATGATGTTAATGATGTTAATGATGTTAATGATGTTATTTTTATTTTAAATAAAAATTAATATTAAACAAGTTTACATAGAATTATCAGTGTTTCTATCATTGAAATCATACTTCAAGAGGAGACCTAAATCAAAGAAAAACCAAAGTAATTTTTTTTTTTTTAATTTCGTAACCAAAAGTGCAACACTTTGATCATGTGCGCAATATGGAGATCTGTACCATACAAACATTACAAATATTGGACATACATGTAATTACGCGATAAAGAACTTTTGAACTTTTAAAGATTTAAAGAACAAAATTTTATTGATTTTATTTGATTTTATTTCCTCATGGAATCTGAAAATAAGAATGAATTTGGTAAGTTCATTTTTTTTTTTATTTTTTTTTCCATTATGAATATTTTATTTCACCAATTTGTTTATGTTCTTTTGGTATATTCCATTTCATACAAAGAAGAATTACCGTCTTTCGGTTACGAATTAGGAGACATTAATATTGAAAATACTAGTGATATTAATAAAAATATTAATTCAGGTATTATATTTATCAAATCAAATTATCCGAAAACTTTTATATATATATATATATATAAATTTAAACATAATTTATATAATTTAAAAATTTTATATCAGAAAATTTATACCTAGGCGAAGATTATAAAGAACTTGATTTTACAACAGACAATAATGAAGAATTATTTGATCTGGAGAACACGACAGGTAGAATAGGTATAACATCTAGATATATTAGTATTTCTTGGTATAAAAAATTTTTGACAACATTTTTTTCTCATATTTTCTGATATCTTCATTTTTAGAAGGAGAGGAAGAAGAGACATTTGATGCATACTTTAATCTTGGTGAAAATGAAGAAGGAACCATTCCATCGATTCCATCAGGAGAAAAAAATAGTACAGGTAAGAATATCTTATTATTGATATTATTGATATTAATATTATTGATATTGATATCATTGATATTGATATCATTGGTATTGATATTATTGATATTGATATTGATATTGATATTGATATTACAATTTTTACATATTTATTAATTTGGTTTATTTATTATATCTTTCTCATCTCTAGGAAGTACTATTGATAATATGGATGATGATAATATATCACTAAATTCACTAAATTACGATAATAATAATAATAATAATAATATTAATAATAATGATAATAATAATAATAATAATAATAATAATAATAATGATAATAATAATAATAATAATGATAATAATAATAATGATAATAATAATGATACATTAGTTCAGACAAGGAATGAAAAAAATGACGACATTTCAAAAGCAGAGATTGAAAAAGGTGAATATTTATCATTTTTGTTATTATTATTTATGTTGTATATTTTTATTTTATTATATTTTACATTATATATTTATTTATATTTTATTATTAATTACTTAGTGGAGATCTCAGAAGATGAGTTACTAGATTTTGGTATTGAAGAAGGTAATGAAATTTTTCTTGACGACGATTTAGAAGAAAATCGTGACGATAATATCTTCAGCGAACAAGAAGAAACCGGAAATAATGATCAAGGTATTTTTTAATCAAAATTTGAATCAACAGTTGATAATTAAAAACTAATAAATCTTTTTTTTTTTTTTTTGCTTTTATAGTTCATTTAACTAAAGATGATGATGGCGATATTTTTAATCCAAATAATAATAATAGTGATCTTGGTACTCCTGAATTTACAGACATTAATTCCTCTGTTGTTCCTATAAAGAATACTTATTCACGAAAAAAGAGAGATAATCGAGGTATGAATAATATATTACGCGTTATGTATATTTGTTGTACTTGTAATTTTTAAACATCATGAACATTACGAATAATTATACGAAATATATAGCTTTATTCTCAGAAGAAGAAAAGGAAGATGGTTCTCTTGAAAATTTTAATAATGAAGAATTAAATTATCTTGAAACAAATCTCAATGATAAAGAAGACGACGGTGAAGGTATAAATTTATTATTTATTATTATTTTTTATTTCTTGATATTATTGATATTATTGATATATTATCGATTTTAATCTAATTGGCATTATTATTTATTTTATCGTAAGAAGAAACCAATTACGAAATAAATTTGGGACTTAGTGATGATGATCAAATCCCTCTGGAAAAAACGAATCATAATTATAATAATGTTTTGAAGAAAAAAGGTTTAATAAATAAAAAGAAATTTTGTTATTTATTTAGTTGCTGTTCTCTTTGAATTCTTATACTAATTATCTTTTTATCTTCTTTATGTATTCCATAGTTTCTCTTTCACAAAATGATATGTTGGGTAATGAATTCGATGATACTTTTAATAATGATGATGATGATGATGATGATAACATTCTTAATGATAAAAATGCTGAATCTCTTAATCTAAAAGGAGTTAAACCAGCCGAAGGTAATTGAAAGTTTTTTAACTTTAATTTTTCTTTTTATTATTTGTTGAGAAAAATTAGATTCACGTTTCAATTTTTTTTTTTTACTATTAGGAGTTTTTACGGATGAAGATTTAAATTCAATTCAGGAGAAAAATAATGTAGAAAATGAGACAGACAATCAAAATCAGACAGAACTTCAATATGAAGCGAACAATCAACATATCGGTATTTATCAATTTTTATTTTTTAAAATAATTTGTCATCTATTTAACATATTTAATATATTTAACATATTTAAAATAATTTTACGATAAATTTTTTTTTGATTAGATTTGTCACCTGATGAAATGTTGGATGAAATCAAAATTCTTGATGCTGGAGAAATAGAAAAAAGGAAACGTAGACCATATGATGGTATGAGATTATTTTTTTTTTTTCTAAAAATATTTGGTTAATAAATTAATTAATATTATTTATATTTTTATTTCTTAATATTATATATATTATATAGATATTACTAAACCTCAGGCAACTTTTCAACCTGGTTCTACTCCTATGAAAAACAATCGTCAATATTTGGGTAAATAACTTTTTCATGATTGATTGATTGATTAATTAACCTAATTTAGAGTTCTAATTTTTTACAATTTTAATTTTCTTCAAGTTATAAATCAAGTCGGAAGTATTTCTACAATGGAACACGAAGAATTTTCAACTATTACTGTAGAATATAATGATCAATCTCATTATCGTGGTTATAACCTTAAAGATGATTATAATTATTCAATGGCTTGTTTAGGTAATATTATATATATATATTTATTTATTTATTTATATAACTTGAATTTAATATTTTAAATTAAATCATGCATAACAAAGAATTTTTAATTTAAAATTATTATTAGATAAGTGTGGAGCATTGTTCTCTACTGAATCTGTTGAAGTGGAACCGGGTAAATTTAATCTTAGCGTATTAACATATAAACCACAAGAAACTTGGGATTTCGAAAACGAGTGGACGATAACATTTCCTCAGGGTGAAGATGTAATAGGTATTATTATTATTATTATTATTATTATTATTATTATTATTTTGAATTTACGTTTGAATTATGAATTATGATTAAAATCTTAACTCAAATATTCATTAATATTTAGCTATTGCATTAAGTTCTGAAGGAATAATTGCTGCTACTTCAAAGGATCTCTTACGATTCTTCTCTCTACGTGGTGTTCAGACTTATGTTTTTAACCTTTCTTCAGTAGTTTCTATGGTGGCACAAAATGAATTTGCATTAATAGTCTATCACATGGGACCTGGATATAAAGGTAACGGCGGATACCATGAGATAATAATTTATATTTTATGATTTTTATGTATTTTCGATGATCAAAATTATATTCATTAAATGATTTTTATTTTTTTTTTTAATAGGATCCCAAAACCTTGGATACATTTTATATAATCTTCATAATGATGAAATCGTGCAACGAGATCATTTGCCAATTTCAAGAGAATCTATTTTACAATGGATAGGTTTCTCTGAAGAAGGGGTAAATTTATAATTTATAATTTATTTATAATTTAAAATTAACATTTATAAAAAGAAAAATAATTTATTTATTTATTACAAATTAATATATATATATATATATTTTTGTTATAAAGATGCCCGCATTGTTTGATTCGAATGGTGTTCTTAGCGTTTTACTTCATCATCGTGTAGTTAATCAAGGTAGATGGGCACCTGTACTTGATACTTCTCTTAATCGAAAAGAAGAAGAAAAAGATTATGTTTATTGGCCTGTTTGGCTTGCTGAAAATAAATCAATTTGTTTTATATGCAAGGTAATTTTGACAATTTTAATTGAGTTTATATTTTCTAATTATATTTAATAATTATATTTAATAATTATATTTTCTAATTATATTTAATAATTATATTTAATAATTATTAATAGAATGGTGAACAATATCCTCGTATCCCTCGACCCAGTTATGATGAAATTAGTTGGCAAATTCCACTTTTGGAAATGGATAAACAATTCCGTCAATATGAAGAAAAGTAATTATTTTTATATTCACAAAAAATTCGATATCTCTTTATCTTTTTAGATTTTAAAAAACGTTTTGATTGATGATATTGTTTTATTTTCTTTTCAAGGGTTATGAGATTAACTATGATTACAAGATTCGAATTTGATGAAGCCAAAGCGAAAAATACACTTGAACAAGAACGAGAAAAGATTAGACAGAAAAATACAGAAATAGACAAAACATTATTAGAATTAATAAATGTGATTGCTTTATTATTATTATTATTATTATTATTATTATTATTATCTCCTTTTTTTTTTATTCTGATTTATATGATTCTAATATCATTAAGTTTAATTTTTTTACAGTTGTCATGTAAAGAGGACAAACTTCAACGTGCATTAGATTTAGTAAAGTTATTAAGTACAGCAAAATCCCTAGATTTAGCAATCAAAATTGCAACTTTTCACAAAAAGTCAATATTGGCTGATAAGATAAATCAACTTAAAGAGGTTGGTTTTGTTTTTCGTTATTTCAGTTTTATTCAAGAAATAATAAAATATTGATTTTTGTTTTACAGGCGAAAAAAGCGGAATTACAAAATACACCAAAGGCATCATCAATAACCAATAATAATAATTCTTATTATAATAATTACAATAATAATAATAATAATAATAATTATAATTACAATAATATTAATAATAGTAGTAATATTATTAGGAATAATGCTAGGTAGATTGAATATTATTATTATTATTTTAAATTATTGAAATTTATTGAATTTACTGAATTTATTGAATCATTTATCTCATTCACCAGGATTGAACAATCAACTTTCGATTCAACGTCTTATCAAGATTTTACTAGTACACCTGATATTTCGAATAATAATGGTTCTAATCAGATGATTACAGACGGTTCGAGTACAGAAAATATTCGTACGGTTTCTAAACGACGTGCGCAAGAAATGGATGAAGAAGATGATGATTTATACTTTGAAGAGGCATTTAAATCTAAAAAATCATCGACAGCAATGTCTAAAAGTAAATAATAAAAAAAATTCTGCTTATTATAATTTATTATAATTCATCATTATATATATATATATATAATTTCTAATTTATTATTAGAAAATCCGTTTCTCATAAAACCTACTGGACCAATAATAAATCCGTTTGCCGTTTCGAATGAACCTAACACAATAGATGGACCTGAAAAGAAGAAACCAAAGATTATCAGTAGGTCATCACGTAAAATTTGATACGTTTAAAAATAATAAAATTACTTATCCTTTATCTATTCTATCATAGAAAATAATAATAATAAATCGGATGTTCAGAAAAAGCAAACCAAATTGGGTGGTCCTTTTGGAACTCTTATAAAAGTAAGATTTCTCACATTTTTAATCACATTTTAATCACATTTATCACATTTGAATCACATTTAATAATTGCATTAAAAAAAAAAAAATAAAATAAATAATAATAGGAGGTAGAATCATCTAACCAAGATAAAGAACAGGAAGTGATACAACCGAAAGAAATAGAATTCGAGGAGAATAATAATAATAATAATAATAATAATAATAGTGGTGATTTAGAATTTAATGATGAGCAAGGGGAACCCGTAATTCCCTTGCCCGAAAATGTTGATGATGTAGTAATAGATGAATTTGGCGAAAAAGATATTGGAGAATATAATCTCTTTGATGATGATCAGACAGAAACGCAAAACATAATGGACTTTGACTTTGAACAATCAACACCTGTGGATAATGAAAATGATCAAACTCAATTAGATTATGAGTATGATCAACTTCCTGTAGATAATAATAATGAACAAACTTTTGCTAACTTGGAAGAAGAATTGAATGAATGAATGAAACTCAATGAAATCGGTAGGTCAAATAAATAAATAAAAAAGTTTTAATTAAACATTTGTTATAATTTACAGGTAAGTATCTTTAGGGGTCATATTATCGTTATCATCTGCTTTATTATGTTATAATGTTATGTAAGGTTCAATCAAAAGTTGTTAAAATATTTGTTAAGTCATTTGGTTTAGTTTCTTCTTCTTGATAATGTTATTAATGTTTATTCATATTATATACGTATTTTGAGTTTTTGACAATTTTATTAGTACAAACTATTTGATACTATCTGATACTATTTGATATATTGTTTATTCTCTTTGTTTGTATATAAAGAGGAATATAATTAGTTTTAAAGATGTAATTATTCATTTAATGAATTGATCATATTTCCAAAATAAGTTGTAATTATTCATATGTATTTTATTCACATGTATTAAGTTCCAAAAACAAAACAATTCATTGATCAATTTCTTGTTGTTATAATATATCTTTCCTGTGAAAGAGAAAAAAAAAATATAGTTGATTCGGATGAACTAAGTATAAGTCATCCCTACGTGTGTGGAAATATAATCAGGTTTTACATGATCTCATTATCAGGAAAATCAGCCAATTCTACATGAAAAGAAACGTAGAAACTTGTTGCAGTATAACCTGCCTACATCCTTGCCTCCAATTAAATCTAATGTGCAATGATTTAACCACGCCTTTGCGGCAAGCGCCGAGAGAATAAAAAAAATTGATAAAAACTTTTACGTAATTATATATCTTGGTGCCAAGTCATGATCCGCTGATATACCGATTTTATAATATTACATAATTATATATATATTTAAGTTGTTTAATATCAATAGTTCTTTAAGTGCACTAATGGTTTCTGTCTTATTAATTTAACCCATACGGGTCACCTCACCGATTTATATCAAAAAGGTAGTTATTATCACGCAAATTGTTGATGCTACGATTTTCTTCGTTACTCTCTTTATCATCACTCTCTTAGTTTTCACTCTCTTTATCGTCATTCTTTATAGTCGCTCTCTATCGTCACTTATCGTAATTCTTTCACCACTGACAAGCGAACCAAAAAAAAAGGTTGGATAATCTATACGATTATCTAGAGAAAACATATCTCAGGTTCTAAATTTCCAAGAACCAATAGAATAGTATCAGAAAATTGCTTTGCTTTGAAACCAATATTAAAAAGAAGTTCAAAATCAAAATAAACTTCATAAGAACAACTTCGCACAACTTCATGAACAAAACAAACGAGATAAACGAGAAAACAGTAATATATCGTACTTTATTTACTATATCATGGAAATTTTAACATATGCGGAACCTTAGAATGGATCAGAAAAGAAAATATCAAAAGGTAATTTGGGTGATTGTTTTCGAAACCAATCAAACCATTAGCCGAACAAACCAAAACCGCCAACAAAAACCTATCATTTTTTTCATATCCCGATGTGCTTTGCTTTATTATATTATCAAAATACGCACACAAAAAAAAAAATATTTCGCTATAAATGAAGTTCTTGCTCTTTTGATACATATTTAAAATTTATAATATCCCTTATTGTACTATGTAAATAAGTTCCATTTCCATTTGAGATGGAGATGTAAAAGTGATTTTTAAGATTTAGTAATTTTTAGTAATCAAAAAATTGTTCTAATAATTTAAAGAGAATTCTATTTTCTTGTATTATCATTTATTGGAGGGGGTTTTTTTTTTAATTAAAAAAAAAAGAAAATAATTATAATAAAGAAATAATGTTCGCAACAACTATCACTTAAATTACTCTTGTTTTTATTAAATTCTTGAATACATACATCCTGTATATGCCAAGTGTATTATCTATTTTCTAGATTTCAATAAACTAAAAAAAAAAAATTTAATAAGACAATAAATAATTTTTTTTTCTTTTAACATTTTCGAGCGAGAAGTGTACACATCTTTGTCTATCCAGTACCGACTCCAGCAGTACCTTCATTACCACTATTGTTCCTGGAAGTTTGATTATTATTATTATTACTATTATTAGATGAATTAGCTGGGAAAACTTCTGACATGGTATTCATTTCATTAGATTCTTGTTGTTCTATTTTTTGCCACCCTGTTTTTTTTTTTTTTAAAAAAAAAAAAAAAAATAAACCATTTAATTAAATATAAATATGAAGATGAATAAAAAATTTTCAAAATAGATATATTACATTCTAATTTTTCTGTTGGTCTTGTTTTAGCCGCTTCTTGGGCTCGTCTTCGAGCGTCAATATCTTTCTTGGCTAAATAATATGCTGTTCCACCAGCTATCAAAAAAATAACAATTAGAAAAATAGATCTAATTACATATATATTCGTGAGATAAAAAAAATGAATAACCAGCAATTAATCCCAACCTATTTTGATATATATATATAGAAAAGAAAGATTTAAACCTCAATTTTATAAAAATTATTTTATATTTAAAATAAAATGTTTTTATCACATACCATCCAATAAGCACAGAACTTGGATTATTCATTTTCTAACTGGTAAAATTAAAATTTTAAAATTAACAAATAAATTAATTGTGAAAAATTTTATTTGATCGATCGATTATTTTAAAAAAAACATTGTTACACTGTCACGGACTGTTACAAGTGATCAAAAAAATTTTTTTTTTCTAACGAAAGTGTAGAACACATATAAACGAATTTTAGCAGATGGTGATGAACATGCAATTTTCAGAAATTATTTCGAATTTTTTTTTTTTTTAATTTATATAAAAACACTTAAAATGAAAGTTCGTTTTTTTTTTTTCATTCATTTTGTGTATAATTAAATATTTTCGAAAATAATTCTTTCAAATCTAACTAAATCCAAATCATAATAAGATTTAATAAGGATATCATAAAAAGGTTAGTTAGCTACATAATGTATTACGAAGGTGATGTTTTAATCCCTGAGGGGCTTGGTATCGAAATTATAAACTTTCATAAATTATATATAAATAATAATTATCACATTTCCGTTCGCGTCAAAGTTGCGCCACCACCAGGAACAAAAAACTTATTAGTGACTTGTGATATTTGTAAAAGTTAAAAATAATAATCACATACCTAAAGCGGCTAATTAATTATATTAACTTGTGTAGTGTAATCTGTTGTCATACAGAAATTTCTTTTACAGTTCGTTTTATAACAATCCACGTTAAATACAAGATATAATGGTGAAGGTGGTACTAATTTATTAACATCCTGTTCACCAAATCTCTAGATGTGATGTGCATTTTTCTCCAAAAAAAATAGATTGTTGAGAGTAAACAATAAAATTATCCTATGCATGTGATCAAAGTTGGTCAACACAAAAAACAAAAAAGCGAAAATCTATTGAGTAATATATATATGAACTTTTTTTGAGTATTTAATTAAAAGTTTCATTTTCTATCTATTTTTATCTAAGGCCCCGTGATTAATTTTAAAAAGGTCGAAAAACCCGCCTCAAAGGATATCTCTTGCTGTCATGACAAATTCGTTAAATGATAACGCTACAGGAGAAAATTTGGCGGGACATCAGTATCCGGTTGCTCCCTTGGTCGAAAACTCTCCCACCTCAACAACAAACTTAATGATAACGCCGGCAACAAATGTTGGCGGGTTATCGCCTCACCCTGCGATGTCCTTCATGCACTGCCCTCCAAATTATACATATAACGTTCCTAACCTTACAAATGTCATTCCCAGTATTGGCTCATCCAATTTCGATAATAATAGTACTACTACGGTTCGACAAATTCCAAATGCCGACAACTCAGTCTCCGATAATAAACCTCCCGAAATAAAAACTCCTGCCGACTATACTTTAAATATTTTGTATAGACAATTTTATAAAAGTGCAGACAAGAAATTTGCAAAAATCATGAGCTTTAATGTGGTAAGTAAAATTTTAAATCAAAATCGGGAGTCTTTTATTTATACAAAATTAAAATTATTATTCAAATTTATATGCAAAGTATACAAAAAAAAACTTTTGGATATTTTATAGGATTGTGAACCTGATTTTGGAGATCATATTGGACCTGGTGTAGATCAATCTTTTGATAAACTTATTAATTCTTTGGGATATGTTGCTAGGCACAAACCAAAACCCGTAATTGATTTAGTTATGAGTTGGAGAAAAGAGAAACAAGAATCAAAGCATGAAGGACCCGAAGCTACTTTCCATAAACGTCATTTGTATGTATTGATACTGAATATTTTATATATGTAGAATTTTCCTGAAATTGTAAAATATCAATCATAAAAAAAAAATATATGGTTCATTAGAAGTGATAGTGCCATAGTTAATAGAAGCAAAGAAATGGACGACATTTTAAAAGAACGAAAAAAGGTATTTAATATATATATATATATATTATATATCTATATTTTTTTCACAAATCTAATTATCTTTAACAATTATTTAATTTATTTAATATATATATTTTTCGTTTTAGCAAGTTACATATTATATAGTATCTCGAGCACTTGTCGAAATTGTTAAACAATTGCAACCCGAAACTCTAAAAGATGATGTAGGGAAACAAATGGAAGACCTTGTGTTCAAAAGGATATTTGAATTAAAACCGTGAGCATACCTTAATTAAGCTTGCTTAGTATTGTATTCTATGAACTTTATATTTAGTAATTTTGTCTTTTCATCCTTTTCATCTTTTCAGGGAAGATGTAAATAGATCAAAGCATATATCAGCGGTTTTTGAGTTATACTCAGAACTTATTGGTGGATTATCGAAGATACGGTTTATGTCTGTATCTGATAAATTTATTGCTAAACTAGAAGTATTTGCTAAGTTACATCCAAATGCGTTAAAAGAACAAGAAAACAAGATCGAATTATTAATTAGAGGGATGCATCATTTACAATTAAAGGTTTGTGTGTAATATAATTTTCTGATTCAATTTTATTTTTTAAAAAAAAAAAAAATTATCTCATTAATCTCATTTTTAAAATTTATTGGAAGATATATCCATTGGAAGCATTAGAGGAAACGGCAGAATTCTTGCAGAGTTTAGCAAATTTTCTAAGAATTGCTCATGGAATAAAAATAAAACATGCTTATGCGGAATTATTTGTTAGATTGTTAATGCCTATCGCAGGGGTAAATATTTTTAATTTTTTTTATTTTATTTTATTTTTTTTAAAGAAATTTTTGAAATATTTCTAGTTCCTACTTTTAATTAACCAAAATTGGATTTTCTGTCTTAGGTAGCAGTTGCAGAAGTTAATTTTCCTTCTTGGGTAAAAGCAGTCGAAATTTTATATCCAAAGGCATGGAAAATGACATTAAAACAAAGACATTGGAGTGTAAGCAGAAATCACAAAAGATTTTTAAATTATTTTATCTCAAAATTTATGTAATTTTAATTTTATTTTATTTTTTTTTTTTTAATATGATATAAAAATAGGTGGCTTATCCTCTTGTAACAACGTTATTATGTGTTAGTCAAAGAGAATTTTTCTTAGCTCGCTGGAATGAATGTCTTTATATATGTATTCAAAAATTCAAAGTCAGTATATGACTATTTTTTTTTTCTTTGACAGATCATTTATTTTGTATTATTATTATTATTATTAACAATCTGTTTTGCTTTAGGATAAATCTTTAAAACATATAGCCATGGGATGCGTAACACGTCTCCTATGGACATTTCTATATCGATGTTCTGAAGGGACAAATACAACGTATAAAAAACTCGATGATATAATTAAAAATTTATTTCCTGCTCATCGAAAGTCTATTGTGCCTGGGGATGTTCCCTTGGATTTGTTCGTTCAATTTGTACATTTTGTGGGAATTCGTCATCACGACTATTGTATGAAGAACCTTATTTTTATGTTAATGAATTCAGACAATATAGCATTAACACATCCATCATTAGAATGTATAGCACCAGAAAGGATGAAAATTGGAATGAGATCTTTCATGTTATTGTTATCCAATATGCAGGCATCCGAGTCGCGCCCAGCATTCCCTTCTAATCCTATTTTAGTTTCTTCTAAATCTATTCTTGGATTAAGAATTTCACCAGATGTTCTTTCTGATGACATTTTAAATCAAGCAGGATTAAAAGAAAATGTTGAAAAATTTTGCGATTTAGCTTGTAGGATGGCGCAAATCTTGGATGCGCATTTTGGACATTTGACAGTTCTTGAAGAGAAATTTTTATGCAAGTTTCCTTTCACCCCTTCGTTAGCTACAGGGACAGGTCTTAGTGAAACTAGTGCTATGATCATATACAGCTTAAATTCAATGAATATTTCTTATTCTAGAGATAAACAACCATATTTTAATTTAATGCGAGAATATGTAGATTCACTTCCTAGATTATTACCAAATAAACCTATTAGAAATCGTATTGTGGAAATGTTATGTCGATATACTGTACATGTTGATCCAGATCTTGCTCGTTCAGCTTCAATAGCTTTGTCACGCATAGCTCAACAATGTGGTGCAGAAAGAGTTATAATGAGTTTCTCTAATTTTGTTCATAAAATCGAAGATAAATATTCCGATATACTTATTGGAGTGGGAATGGGAAAAGATACTAAATTTATAGGAATATTGAAATTATATTATGATCTTTTACGACAATGGTTATATCAATTACAAAGTAAAAAATATAATGAATCATCCGATCAATCTAATAATGCTACGAGTACACTTTCTCCTAGAATGATAGCGAAAACGATCAATGAAGTTGAGGATCCAAGTATATGGACTATCATAGACGTTACTGAAGCAAATGGATTATTGTTTCTTTGTAGTCAATCATGTATCATTAGAAAGTATGCAATACAGATTCTTCGTATTGTAGCAGATTTAGAACTTGAATTTAATGAACGTAAAGAAAAAAATAATTCAACCCGTTCTCGACGGAATACTACCGTTAGCATAGATAGTAAATCATCTGATCCTGCTAATCTACCCGAAGATGATGAAAAAAATATAGTTGAAAATCGAAATTTAGATGCATCTACGATAAAGTTATTTTATTCGGCATCTGATAATGATGATAATAATATTCAATATACGCGAATTACTCATGTACTTAATCGTGGTGGAGAGTTAATTAAATTTGATACAGAATCATTTAATTCTTTGTCAGTATTTGAAAGTGTAAGGTTACAAAAGCTTCTACAACAAGGAAAGAAAAATATTCTTTTACGATTAGTGGAAAGTGAAATACCTGCAGACACTATTATTTGGTCTCGATGTTTTCCCGAATTTATGAAAATTTGTTTTTCTTATTTCCCGATGACGGTGGCATTATGTCGTAATAATGTTTGTATTCGTATTGTGAAAATGCAAATGTCAATAGTTACCGCATCCGAAACTCTTTTGCGTACACCTACCGCTACTTTATCGATGCCAAAATTTCATTATCCAAAAGTTAGCAATACAGCAACTGATGATGTAATCGAACAATGGAGATCTTACCTAATCGTCGCTTGTTCAACAATTACAATGGCAGATGAAATGACTGAACGAACTTCAACGCACAATCGTAAACGTTCTCAACCACCACCACCTGAACGAATTACAACTGCTAGGGATTTGTTCCGAATGGTTTTACCACTTTTGTCATCCGAACATCCTTTAATAAGTGAGTCTGTAGTAACAGCATTGGGTAATGTTAATGAAAATGTTTACAAAAGTTTACTTGAAGACATGCAACCATACTTTAAATCAGTAATTGAAGAATATAAAAATAAAATTAGTAGACAACCTTATACCAATATTCATAAACGTGCAAAGAAATGTGAAAAACTTCGTATTGAACTTGCGCATGTTTATCAATTAACATCCCGTTTCCTTACTAAAGAAGAATATATTAAAGATTCCACTATTCGCACTTGGATAATGACATTTATAAAAGAGACTTATAATTTTCTTCGTGACCCTGATGTTTCTGCAGAATGGGATTTTGTTAGGCTTCGTCAATATTTCTGTGGTGTTACGGAAAAATTTTATGATGGATTATGTTTAATACATAGTGAATCAGACTTTGGTTCAGAAATGAGAACTTATATTTTCAAAACGATTGAAGACTGGTGTGGTCATGGTCAAAGGGGTTTAATGCATCGAGCCAGAGAAGTAAATTTACTTTCTGCGATGGTTGATCATTACAAAGATTCCGAAGAAAGACGACCTATGACGACACAAATGGAAAATGATCGAAAATCTTTAGAATTTGCTGCACTCAATGCAATGGCTTCATTATGTGTAAGTAACTTATATACCATTTCGTGAATGCTATAAATTATCATTGATCTTATTATTATTATATAGAGAGGTCCTTTAGCATTATATGATTTGAATTCTACGAAAAACCCAATTCCAAAATCACTTGATGCTGAAAGTGTATTTGCTTGGATCCAATCAGTCTTCGAGGATCCACAAGATAAACTCCATCCTATTGCGAGGTTAATATTTTCTTCATTTTTATAATTAATGTAAAGTGAAAAATAATTAATTGTCATTTATCATTTTTCTTTCAATTTATAACAGAAAAGCTCTTGGTGGATTACTTATTTCGAATTCGAATATACCAAATTTTCTCGAAGTCCCTGTTCGTCTCTGTTATTCAGGTCATCCAACATCTAAAAGTACGCATGGTTATTTTTTGTCAGTAGCGAAAGTTTTCTTTAAAGGTTTTGATTACCCTTGTGATCAAAGGGGAAAAATGTTGGCACTTGCTTTATTCAAAATGGGAGATGCAGAATTAGAAATTCGACAAAATGCATTAAAATTATTAAAAATTATTGAGGAAAAATTATATGATGAAAGTTGCATTAATGAGTTTAGAATTGGAATCACGAGCCAGTTATCATCAATATATAAACAAGCACAAATTGCATTATCTACACGACTTGCTCAGAATGCAAGAAAAAGAGATGAAGAAAGATTTAAAAGAAATGAGACTTTTAATGGAGAATCACATTATTTTTTATCAGAAGTTTCTTCACGATTTGAAAGTGTTCATGAAAAGAGCAAAAAAGATGTATTACGCTATCTAGTACCATGGTTTCGAAATGTTGAATTATTTAATGATACTGATGAATTACACCCAATTAACTTTATCATGATATCAAATCTCTTTTTCATAACTGTTAAATATGGAGATGTATTTGTTAAAGACATAGAGAAAATTTGGCAACAATTAGTAATGAGAGAACATGCTCATAATGTTCACGCAATAGTGAAATTTTTAATTGATGTAGGTTTGGAAAAAAGGAATCCTATATTTGTCTTTCACGCCAAACGTGTTTTCGTTTACCTTGGACGAACTCCTACATGTGCGGCTGTCATTGAAACTTTAGTTGCAGAAATTACACCAAAATCAATGACACCTCAACCAAAAGAAATTATTGAACGAGAAAATTATGGAGTTAATGGAATGTTTTTTGCGAAAATTGAGGAAGCTATGCCACAACATCATAAACGACCTATATTTTCATCTGGGCAATTGGCTATTTTATATATGGTTGATATGGCTATTGAATCAGGAACAGATTTTGAACTTCATCTTCCAAGGATACTTCATGCATTATTTGTTCAATTAGATTCTGTAAATCCTCTTATAAGTGAAGAAACAAGAGCACTTTTAGTAAATTTGATTCATTCAATAATTATTAGTAAATCCGTTTACCCAGAAGTTATTAAATTAGGACATTCTTTAGTAGCGGAATTAAAAGCTAAGGAAGGTTCACAGTTATGGGCATACGAAGATATTACATATTATAATCGAAATATAAAAAGTTTGAAAGATCTTGAAAGATTATCTAAAGACATTGTTACAATATTTGGAGCAATTGTATATGGAGAAAATAATCGAGAAGATCTTAAACAAAGTTGGGGGGAAATGGCATTAAAATGGGCGACTTCATGTTCTGTTCGTCATATAGCATGTCGATCTTTTCAAATATTTCGTTCACTTAATCCAGTATTTAACGAACATATGTTGTTTGATGTATTAACTCGTTTATCTAATACAATATCTGATAATTCAGATGAAATACAAGGATTTGCCTTAGAAATATTAATTACTCTTAGTCATGTCGTAGATTGGTTAGATCCAGATACCAAAGAAATTTATCCACAATTATTATGGACAATAATTGCATGCCTTCAAACTACCAATGAACCCGAATATTTGGAAGCTTTATCAATTTTAGATAAACTTTTGGATAAATTTAATCTTTCTGATGAGGTTAATCAAGAAATATTTTGGGGATATTTTCCAGGACATAAATGGCGTGGACAATTTATAGGGATTCAACCATTATTATTGAAAGGATTATATTCATCAACAGCATATCAGAAAACATTTGATATGCTCAAGAAATTATTATTTTTACAAGATGTTCAACTTGTTGACCCTACACCAGCTCGATATTTATATTTAATTCTTGCCAATTTACCTAGACTTGTTCATTCATTGGAAGACGAATCTATTCGTAATGAATGTTTTGAATGGACGAAATATTTAGCAGATATTGTAGAACAAGAAGGTCGACATGGACTTGCAAGAGTATTAAATTCATTTAATAAAGGAAGGTTTAGAGCGAAAGATGATTTTTTGAAACAAATAATATTAGTAATTCGAGATAATTATTTTCCTGATTATGAAGTACAAACATTATTATTTCTTATGAGCTTACTTTCAAACAATACACATTATTTTAAGTTAAAGGTAATGACAATTATTAAGATGATGTTACCACACGTAAATACACAAAGACAGGAATTTATGACAATTGGATCAGAATTAATATTACCACTTCTTCGACTTTTACATTCACCATATTCACAAGAAGCATTAGAAGTATTAGATGAAGCAATTTCTATAACAGTTACATCAAAAGATCCCAAAATTATAAGAATGAGTATAGGATCACGTAGAGGGAAAGATATGGATGGAACAGTTAGTTTATTTGGAGATCCCGATGATAATGGATGGTCAATTCCTGATAAACAAACAGCGATGGAAACTACAAGATCAAATGTACAAGCAGTATGTTGTATGTGTAATGTAACAACTCAACAAGATCAAGATATTCAATTATTTGATGATTTTAATGATAGTTTTGCTGGATATGGAACAGAAACACCAACAAGAGATTCCAAGTTTCGTGATATTGTTTCTAAACTTCAAGATTTAAATGAATATTTTCTTCCAAATGAAGATACAATTAGTAGTAATGGAAGTGTTGCAGGTAGTAATAGTGGAAGAACAATGAAATTATCAGCATATAAAATACCTAATATAATAGAACAAGAGTATGATGAATATTATGATTTCGATGATGAAATGGGAGGGCCAAGTAATTTAGATGATGATTCAAGAGTAGAAGAAATTTTAGAGAAGAGTTTATCAAAACCTAAATCCCTTAAATCGCTTAAATCACAAGTCGATATAGGTGATAATAATAGTGAAAATAATATTCCAACATATGATTCAAGAGAACGAGATGAATCTTTACAAAATATTAGTTCAGCATCATCAACGGAAGAAGAAGATTCATATACAGTTGATGACAATGAATCATTACTTTCGGAAGGAAATAATAGTTCATTTAACTTGGAAAATATAATTCAAAGGTCAAGGGGATCAATTAGTGGGACATTGCATAATCACACATCTTCAGTGTGATTTGTGATTTAATGCAAATTCTAATGTGATTTAAATGTGATTTAATGTGATGTACAGTCAACCCAGGCACATCATATAAACTATTAAAGTTATATAAAAATTCCTCCGTATAGTCACTTTTCATTATAATCACACTTTTTAATTTTTAGTCTGAGTGTGACTATAGAATTGTTGTAATTTGATATAATGTGATTTTATAGAGAAATTTTATTTATTTTATTATATTCATTTTTTATACATTTTCTACAAAATTTTTTTTTGTTCATATCATTTCAATCATAAGAAAAAAAAAGCATTTCCAAGACATGTATAGTATTTAAAATATTTAAAAATAAAACTTGTATATTATTATTTATTTATTCTCTATTCTATATAAATATCTAAATATTAAATATTAAATATTAAATATTATTATTATTAATTCTAAAAAATACAATAAATATAAATAAAATACAATAAACATACAATAATAAATTTAACAAATACAATAAATATTCAAGATAAAAGATAAAATATTAAGCAAAAGGATCATCATAGTAAAAACCATTTGTAATAACAGGAAGTTCACTTGGTACTTCAACACTTTGAGGAATTTCCACTTTCTCACCACTTAAATCCAATAATTTAACTTTAATCCCAATTTCAGTCAAAACTTGAATAAATTCGGCAGTATCTTTACTACCAATGTTTTTATCAAATAACATATTTAATCCATCAGTCCATTCACTAAATTGTTTTAAATCTGTAGCAACAAAATCTGCCAAAGAAGTATCAGGACCTGACATTAAAGAAAAAGTTAAATCTTGTGGATTATTATTATTATATAATTTTTTAGGTGGTGATCCAGCAGTCATTGTTGATACTTGTGACATCATTCCTGTCATTACATCTGTTACTAATGATAAATCAACTATAAAGTAAAATAAAGTTAAAATATTGTTAAATATAATTAAATGTAATTAAATGTAATTAAAAATGTAATTATAATTAAAAAATAAAAAAATTAAAATAAATAAATAAAATAAATACTTCTTTCAGGTAATTCTTCAACTCCATCTCTAACAAAAACTTTATCCACAAAGTCATTATAATGAAGAAATTTAGTATTTGGACTAAGTCTATAAAATCTCCATTTTTTATTTGGCATAGATCTACGGCCTAAATTTTGTTGAGTATTTGATTGAGATAAATTGGTCTGATGTGTAAGAATTGGAAACCAATCTCCCATTAATAAACATTTAATACGTTGTTGTTTAACAAATTCATATGATTCTGTGTATAGACGACCTCGCAGATTTCTATAAATGAATATAAATTATTAGAAAACATTTATAATGTTCAGGTAAAGTAAGTAAAAAAAAAAAAATAATTAATCAATTAATTTAATGCTAACCTGACAGGTGTTTTACTTAATAAGTCATCCTCAAGTTCTAATTCTTTTAATTGTCGATCCCTAATAACTTTGTATTCAACTTCCAACATATCTTTTTCAAATTCATAAAGTTGTTTAGTTGCTTCATCAAGTAAAGCAAATTTTAACTGACTTCTCACTAATGCAGAAACTTTGGGAAAATCTTCTGCAGTTGCTTCCATTTCATTCCATAATCGAAAGAAAGCTTTTGTGGTGATATAATGGATTTTATCAAATGACAATAATAATGGTTGAAATGAAGTTGAAGTCGTATCTAAAAAAAAAAAATTAAGATATTTAGAAATTTGAAATTTGGAATTGTTAGAAATGTGAAAAGCTTAAGTAAAAAAAAATACGCGAGAAAAATGAGAAATAAAAAGAAAATAAATTTATCATTACATCCAGTACTGATGTCCCAATAATCACATAATAATTCAGTAACTTCAATCGAGGTTTTTGCAAATGGACAACGACGTTCAGCTGGTCGATTTATTTGTTCCAATATTGTCTATCAAATTATTTAATCATTTTTTTTAATTATTTTAATTATTATTTTAATTATTTTAATTATTATTTTAATTATTTTAATTATTATATTGTTAACAATTACCAAATTATTATTTTACCTTTTGATATTCTTCAGTATCTTTTTTTATGAAACCATGCATATTTTCTAAACCCAAATATCCGACTCTCTGGATTTCCCATTTCGGTGCTTCTGTCTATAATAATAAAAAAAATCAATATAAGAAAACCAACACAAACAACATAAACAATATATAAAAATTCAAAATCTTTAAAATATCTCACCGCAAATCCGATTTTTCTCCATTTACCACCTTCTTCAGATAAATTGGCTGAAGTCCATATTTCTTCCAGCATCGCTTTATGTGATGGAATATGTAATGACATTTGTGTTCTTTTCCATCGATATGCTTGACGAACAAATAATGATTGAAATTCTAATAAATGTTTTGATAATTCTTCTCCATGAACTCCATTCATTAATAACTATTATATATATATATTTAATACACATTTTATATAATAATAATAACAATAATAATGGAATAATAATAATAATAATAATAATAATAATAATAATAATAATAATAATAATAATAATACATACAGCAACTGCTTTCCTGACATTTAATTTATCCAACATATCCATAAAAGATTCCCAATATTGATCTGTGACATGTCTAGTGAGAGCATTAATTAAACATAAACTATTTGAACATAACACATAATCTGCTGATGCTAAACGTTGAACTAATGTAGGTAAGAAATTTGGTTGATTTATCATTGCATCATGTAATACATCAAATCCATAAGATCTTATTGGTGAAGTAGTAGAGTTTTTATCGGCAGTTACTAATTTAATTATTATTGCGGTAGCTGGTCTACAAATATTTACTAACGTTTGGTCTACCAAGATTTTTATTACCTAAATTAAGTTAATTAAAGTTAATTAAAATCAATTAATTATAAATTTAAAGAGTTAGTTTAATTAATGAAAAAAAAAAAAATTATTACCTTATTTATAAAACTTGTTTCCAAGTCCTCCCAACCATGATCATGCTCCATAAGATTTTGCATCGAAGTTAATGCATAAGCTAAAGTATTTCCAGTTGAATTGATTATTATCCCAATTAATGATTTTAATCCTTCTCTTTTTAAAAATTCATCTGCAAATTCTACTTCCTTTTTTTTTTTTGGAAAAGATAAATTTATTTAATTATTTTTAATTAACAATTTTTATTATATTAATTAAAAGAAAAATGATAATAGCATACTTTAATATATTTTTGAAGTGAAAAAGTGGCAAGTTTTAGAGATTTATCATCAGTATAACATAACTTTTCACATATTTCGGCTGCTTCAATTAATGGTGATGAAACAAGTTTTAATCTTTCATTCTCAGTAACTTTTCTTCTAAGATTCTAAATGAAATTTGATATAAAAAATTTTTTAAATTGACAATAAAATTATAAATAATAATCAAAAAAAAAAAAAATTCTTTTTGTCATAAATTAAGAATGTAATTTTATTGATTTTATTACACTACACCTCATCAGTAATTAATTCTTCAGTATCTTGCAGTCTTAAAGCAAACAATATTGCAGGTTCCGAAATATTAAATTGTTCCATACATAATGTCTTTATAATGCTATTAACTGGTTTTGAAACGTCTACGTAACATTGGACATTAGTTTTATCATATGACACACTAACTTGAGTAGACATTTTTTTTTTCAAAGGAACGAGATTAATTTTAATTTCTGATATAAATTATTATCAAATTCGTGTTATTCTTTTTTGATGAAAAAAAAAAGGAAAAGCGAAAAGAAATTTTTTCGTATAAAAAAACAAATTCAAAAATAATGTAACACACGCATTAACTTTTTATGTACCAATTAATATGTTTTGTAAAATTCGATTTATGAATCTTCCCATAAATGGAATATCGTCACCATTAGCCATGTTCGGAAACAATTATCATTGAATAATTCATTCCGAGCGAGCAATAAAAGATAATGAAATAATTAACTATTTTAAGAAATAATTGAAAAAATTAAAAATGATTTTTTTTAATATCAAAATTTATCATAGTTAATATAAACGTAAACCTACTTTTCTTAATATATGGTCAGGAAAGGAAGACAAAAAATTGGGTTTAATTTACATCGAAACGTAAATTCTGATACAAATTTATTTGTAGATTTTTTTTTTTTTTTTTTTTTTTAAAAAAAAAATAAACTTCTACTTTCTACTTTACATACTTTAAGCGAACAGAAAATGCCTTGTGTATGCCCAGAGTGTAATCAGGAATAAAATTACTATCATAAGCTGTGCAACTCAACACGTTTCAAAAATGATGTTGATAAATGAACAAGTGGAAATGACAATAGATAAATTTATTCAAGAGGCTCAACTAAATGTTGATGATTATGGAAGATGGATACCTTATGATAGGTTTAATGATATTAAACAAATAGCAAAAGGTGGTTATGGTGCTATTTATTATGCTAAGTGGGTTGATGGATATATTGAACAAGGATATTCAGGCCTCTGGTACTCTTTTTTCAAAAAAGGCTTGAAGTGGTATTAAAAAAGGTTTGATGGTATTGTAGATATAAATGAAGATTTTTTTTAATGAGGTAAAGTAATATTTTGAATTAATATGAAAATTTATTTGAAAATATATAATATATATTGATTATAATTTAAAAAATATGTTATTTAGATGGCAATTCTCTTGAGAACAAATGTTTACACATCATTGAGTAAACTTTATGGAATTACAAAGATTCAGAACCTCTCATATATATGATGTTTTTGGAATATTATAAGATGGAAGTCTTAGAAATTATTTAAATAGTAATTTTAATAATATCGATTGGAGGTAGTAAATTATACTATTTAAAAAGATTAGCTGATTATTTCTCAAGCATTCATGATTTAGATATATTTTATTGTGATTTTTATCTCAGAAATATTTTAAAATAAAGTTTGGAAAGTCATTTTATCCATATATATCATTTACAGAAAACAAAAAATTTCCCAAATAAAATCATCTCTGGAGTATTATCTGACTCCTGAATAAGGTTACTGGAAAAAACCTATTTGAGTAATTGACAAAAGGTAAAACTCTTACTTAAAACAGTTTAAACTATTAGCAAAATTTTATTATCTGGTAAAACTATTTTATTTGACAAACTATTAAATTTCATGATTATAAATATATATTTAATTGATACTAGATACAGTATATATTTGCATTTGTTTTATTAGATCTGAAATTTATTAAGTATAAAATTATTTTTTTACTTTATTTACAATTTATGAAATATGGAGCAATTTTAAGATATTAGAAAGCTCTAGTTCTTGGCTACAAGATAATATATATTTTATTCTTTTAGGATCAAGTCATTATATTTTAAGTAAATTTAAATATTAATGTTAAAATTATTATTTTTATTTCATTTGCAATTTATGAATATAAATGAAACATGAAGTGATTTTTTACTAAGGTATTTCTAATATAAATGAAACACTCCGTTTCTTGGCTACAAGATGATATATATATATTATTATTATAGAATTAATATTCATCAAATTATTGCATTTAAAAACTTAAAAAAATCAAAATTTGATAAAAAATTTTGCTCTTATTACAGATTTGCAGCCTACTGTCTAATCCACAGCAAAAAAGTCCCCTTTTCTGTTAAGGTTAAAAAAAATGATACTGTTGATGATCTCAAGGTACAAATCAAAAAGAAAAAACATCTCAAGTTTGAAAACTTTGCACCATATAGACTTACACTATGGAAAGTGAATATTCCTTGCAACTCGCCAGACAAACGAAATACTCTTGAAGCTGACCCAATGTCGACATCAAAACTGTACTAGAGGGTGAGAAACTATCACCTATGGATAAAATTAAAGAACACTTTGATAAGCCCGCAAAAAGCATATCTACATTATTGTCAAACTGTCTACTTCCATCAGTAAATTTGTAAATCTCATAAAGTCATAAAATAAAACTGCACCTGAATAATGTTACTCTGCTGATTACACGAATTATACAAATTATTATAAGTCAAATGTAATAGAAATCACGGCAGTAATATTATATTTACAACATGGAATGTTGGTATACAATTTGCAACATCGACTAACTCGGCTTTTTACATTCTTTTAAACTCCTACTAATCATATCTTTCACAAGATGTTGTCAACAAAATTAATGAAATGCACAACAAAATTACTCAATCAACCTTTGACAAAATATCCATCTCCAAAATTAATATAGATAATTTCCAACGTTTACAACGACATCTTGGTATCAAAATTAATATTACCTCTTTTAATATCCATATTTCTAGTGGCGCATCACCACCAGCTTTTGAATGGAAGAAAAACCAGAACGGCTGCCCATAAAGATGAATACATGACATGGCTAAATGAATACATTCCTTTGAAAAGATCAGATTGTTTGCATGATGTTGAAGGTATCCAAAGACTATTTCATTTGTATAATGATCCCAGATTACCTTATAATATTCATGGTAGAACTGATGTAGTGGCTGCGGAGAAGGCTTCTATTGAAAACAATTGAATTCAAGCGGGTATTCATCCAGTTCTGGGGCTAAAAAGCATGTCGAGACAAATCATGTATTTCAAACCATCACAGAAATGATTGTTGCTGATTTGATTAGCCCAAATAATATAATTGTTTTTGGGATCTTTATCAGATCTAAGAGATCATTGGCAAATATTCTGATTGGAAGATGATAAAAGTTTAAAGGTTTGGAAAGCACCAAGTCGGGATGTTTTTGTTAAAGTGATAAGTATACTCTTAAAAGAGAAAGGTCCCGAAACAATTGCAGGGGACACAACGATCATCATTCCAGCTGCTAAACGTGTTAAGTTGGGTACTTTATTACCTAAATGAATTAAGAGAAGGATGAAAGATGTATATGGATTTTATAACAAAAGAGAAAATATGGTATCATAAAGTCGGAATTGCTACAAAAGTTATCGAAAGTATTCTGACCTTTTCATCAATGTAATAACTAATTGATAATGTTAGAATAAAAATGATTCATGTATTCTCATTTTCATCATGTATTTGTTTTGTTAATAAAATTTCAGCGGGTTGGCACGAGATGTCAAAATTTATGCATTTATTAGTATATATCACGATTTATCTTTAGATAAAATATATAACCATATGTTTTATTTGGAGAAATGATGTTTATTCTAATTTATGTACAGCCATTGGGATAAATTTTTTTCGTCAATCATAAATTTCACTTTCCTTGTAAAATTCTTTTTAGAGTCAAAATAATTCTAAACAACAAATATAAGAGGATAGCACCAGAAATAATAGCACAGCCGAATTATGAATTCTAAGACCTTGAAGCACTTTCGTTGAATTACCTAAGTAGCCAAAATATTTCAAAAAAGTAATATATAGAACTCCTCACGGATCCTGAAACCTTTACGTGTTATTTCATAATAAAAACCATTGGCAATTAAAATTTCGCATACTGGAATATTGAATAATTCAACCTTTATTGTGTGTCATTACATTCACGTTCTCCCAATGACACCCCCCAGCATGTGCTTGACGCCCTCAACATATCTTCCAGATATTAGAATATTTAACTTTAGTTACGTTTTCTGCGTCAACTAAGGATGGAAATTCTCGAAAAAATCTATCATCAAGAATCTGCCTGACAGTATATTGGTGTCCAAGTCTGAGATGTAAAGAATGTTGATTGTTTTCTTTTAGTGTACACCATTCGAGATTAGATACCCTATTATTTGTAGAATCTTCATCGATATGATTCACATATTCTTTGCCTTCTTCCTTGGGACAGAATGCTAATGCCACTAGCGATGAACACAACAATTATTAATTAAGTAATATCCTTAGTAAAAAATTTTTTTAGTAACCAGATCGCAAAGACGTATAGAAAAAAAAGCTTCTGATAAAGAGGATAATTAGATTTTTTATTCTGTATTTTATTTTTATTTTTACCGCATCAATAAAGCAAGCTCTGGTGGTTCGATTCACATATATACATATATAATTGTTTTTACTTTTGCGCGCGTTTTATGTATATCAATAAAGTTAAATTTAAAAAATGCTATTTGTTTGATTTTTTTTTCACCCTTATTTTCTCAAACAGATCGTAAATTGTTCTAGCTCTTTGATCATATAAATATATATCATCACATGTGTATAAAATATTAATTTCATGAAAACAAAGACTAATATACATTGGCTAGGAGTTAGGATAAATTGCATTATATTATTATAATAAAGTTAAAATATCACTTTGCAATAAATTATGTGAATTCTGTATTCTGTTGCATAACACATAATATTCCTCTGACTTTCACTGTTTTCAATACGTACGGAAGGCACTTTCTCGAATTAGAAAAAAATCCAATACAATGAGCGAAGTTAAAAATATAAAAAATCCTCTGGGATCCTTCATTAGAAATGAAAATGCTCCAATAATTATTGCCTATTAAAATTTCCTGATATAATATTTTTAAAGCAATTAATTATTAAATATTTTTAAATCATTTAAAATAATATTTTTAAATAATTTAATAAATATCACTATTGAGTCATTTAAAAATAAGCTTTCACCAAGGTTTGTGAGTTCATATTCAAGTTCAAGAGCCTATATCAAAACTCAAGAATCCATATCAAGGCTTGTGAGCTTATTTTAAGTAGAGTTGTTAACTGGAGTATAATGTTCTGGCATCAATTCGGGTTATGTATCACTCCATCATGGAGCAGGTTAATATGTCTAGTTTTTTGTACTAACCTAGAGCAAAATATTTTATTATAACCCAGGTTGCTCCAGGTTACTCCGGGTTGCTCCAAGTTACTTTAGTTAATCATTAACAAAATTATCAATCATTAATATATATTGTATATTAGTTATATATTAGTTATAATTATATCATCAACTAATAATTAATTAATTAATTAGTTTATCTTTTTTTGAAATTTTATTTTTTGTTTTCTTTTTTAATACCTTAATGGGATAAAAAAAATTTGTTATTTTTTTTGATTTTGTCATTTTCTTAAAAAAAAAATATTTATTTTTTCTAACTATTCTAATCTAATTAAATAAAAATATTTTTTTTTAAGAAAAAAAGAAAGAGAAAAAGTAGTTCTTTATATATTGTATTTTTCAGATTTTTTGATATCAAAAGGTATGATATCGGGTATATTATATATAATATTATATGAAGTAATATTTTCATATTATTTATGTTCTTAATTATGACACGTTATTTTCATATGTAGTTAAAATATATGTAATATATATTTACTATCTGAAAACAAAAAAAAAAATAAAAAATACATATATCGGGTTCTAGTATTATATATGATAATCATATAATATAGTATTATCAATATGATATAGTATTATTAATATTATATGTATTTTTATTATTAACATTATATGTATTTTAAAGAAATGAATAGAAATGGACCGCAAGGAGGTGTTATGCATATTAAAGAAAGAAAATTGTATTATTAATAATTAAAAAAAGGTATTTGTTTACATATATGCAGGTCAGAGGAGTAATGTGCAACATATTAAATTTAATGTAATAATATAAATTACTTACACTGGTCAAAAATTGATAAAATATACACATATTAGGTACCCGATATATGCATGGTGTGTCCCTAATATCGGGCATATATCGGGTACCTGATAAGTGTAAAAAATATTTTTTTACACTTATCGAGTACCCAATATATATATAAAATATTTTTTACACCTATTGGGTACCTGATATATGCCTGATATTAGGGACACACCATGCACATATCGGGTACCCGATATGTATATGTTTTATTAATTTTCAACCAGTGTTACTATCCATATTAAATAAATCATTACTATATATATTTTATAAAAAATGCATTAACTAAATAAAATTTCTCTAATT